TTTCTCAATTTAAACTTTTGATATGTTCTCTTTTTTTCTGTTGCAAATAAAATATCGGTTTATGAGATTTGCAAATCACTGCATTCTGTTTTTATGCAGATTTTACACATAGTCCCAACTATTTTTGAATTGGGATTATATGATCAGTTTGAATGGTCCAGGACTGGGTCACAGATGAGGGTCAAACAACCAATTCTATGTAGGGATTCTATTTATGTTCAGACCATATTTCTATCTCCAAGGTCAGAACTTATGGAATTCATATGATGGCAAAAGCGGAGAGGGGCTTTACTGAACTAATCAGGACAGAAATGATTGCAAGGACAAGTCAACCCAAGCATTGAATACAGACAAACCTCCCCACCAGTGTAGCTTTCATAAGCACACACAAATTAAAGAGGAAATTAAATAGGCTTAACTCTGAAAGCTGTGCAGAAAATGAAGATGGAGAGTAAAGGACTAGTCACCAGATTAGCCTGTGACCTCCTTTCAGCTGATCTTCCCCTGTTTCTGACTTACCATGCCTTGTTCTACATCAGGGGTGCTCAACCTGTGGCCCTTGGAGCTCTCTGTTGTGGCCTTTGATCTCAAACCAGGGCAGCGCACTTCTATTATCCTCTGCAGGTTTGGCACACTTTCAGAAAGTGCACCACACCTGCAAGATATATTAAGAGGTTAATGGCAATGCGCAGCTAACCTGCAGGAAAGCTGCAGGTGCACTGCGTTGCACCCACGGTGCAGGTAAACCGCAGCGCATCAGTGTGAAAGCAGTCTTGCAGGTGGCTCAGGACATTAAGGGCTCATTTACATTTGCGGTTTGGGGGAGTGTCAAAACCCCATAGTTGAAACGTGTTTTTACCACACACCCCAACCACTGGTGTAGCGTCAGGAGGCGCAATGTTGACCCCGCCCCATGCTCCAGGGGGCCCATGCGACCTCCCCGTCGCATTCTGTTTTACACTTAGACAGGAGGGGCTGCGGTGTGGCATATACAGGATCCTCTCCATTTTCCTCCTGCAACCGAAAGTCAGCTTCTACTCTTTTTTTCCTGTCGGCATTCAATGGCTGCAGGAAGAAAATGTTTACTATACTATTAAGAATAAAAAAACTTGAAATTCTGAACCATACCATTTCATTGCAGCCTGTGAGCGGTTACCAAATCACTTAGGTGGCTCTCGCTCTTCAAAAGGTTGAGCACCCCTGGTCTACATTGTGTCTCTAGGTGGAATCGAGTCGGCCATCTTTTTAGAGGCAAGTCTTTGCTTTCTGATGTCAGAGCCTCCAACAAGCAGCACATTAATCACATTGATATCACCAAAACTCCTGAGACTAGCGGTCTGAGACAACAGTGCCTTAGATCTCATGCTGCAAATGTACAGCTATGAAATTATAGGCACACTTACATACTAGGCAGTGCACTGTTGTTTTTTAGGAGAAAATCAAGACCAAAAGGTACATACATTATTCAGGGTACTGCTTAGGCACAATTAACACTTCTAGATGTCCCTAACAGTCAATTTTTCAGATTTGATTTTAGAAAACTGAACGTAGTTTGCTATAGTTTACAATACAAAAGTGTTGCTCCTTGTACTGTATCATTAAATAAACCCATGTGTCTTTTACTAACCTCATGAGTGCGAAAGAATTCAGATTCTTTAAGAGCAGCCTGCATGCTCTCCAGACGCTTCACATAGGCAGTCTGAAATAAAAAAGTTCACACTTGTTACTTTTTCCAACACAAGATGGCACTGCTATATGCATGGAAATACTGTCTTCCTCTCTCAGTAAAGTGTTTTATGTTGTCGCACATATAAATGTTAGGACTACACAGGCAACTAAATCTCTGTGCAGTTGACAGTTTTTAAAAATCATAATATCGGCATTACATTGATGTTATGGTGCTGCCAATAGATCAATGCCAACAAATGCTTAAGTGTCTTAGTGGCAGAGAGATGTATGCTTTTATGCAGCAAAAATAGGCTTTTGCAAATTACATTTTATTGAGCAGATGCATTAAAATGGGACCTCAGACATAGAATCATAGTTTTGGAAACCAAGATTATTACATATAGTGGGTAGAGAAAAGAATCACCCCACTCTAAAATAATCACATTTTTATGCTTTTCAGCCTGAAATGAAGACAGACACAGTTTTTGTTTTATTCAGCTGTATTTACTTAGAACATCCAAGTGAAAGATATAACACCACCATGTCAGAACAAAATTTAAACAAATCATAAACAGAATCACTGAGTTGGAAAAAGGATCACCCTCTTTAGTCAGTATTTTGTTGAACCATCTTTTGCTTTAATTACAGCCTTTAGTCTGTTGGGATATGTTTCTACTAACTTCGCACTATTGCAATATTTGCCCACTATTCTTTGCAGAACTGCTCAAGTTCAGTTAAATTTGATGGTGACTGTTTATGGACTGTAGTCTTTAAGTTATTCCACAGATTTTCAATGGGGTTCAAGTCTGGGCTCTTACTAGGCCATGCAAGGACATTCACCTTTTTCTCCTTCAACCACTGTGTGATCATTTTTGCTGTGTGCTTTGGGTCATTGTCATGTTGGAAGGTAAACCCTCCCATTGACAACTTTCTGGCAGAGGGCAGCGGATTTTCCTCAGAATTTGAAGGTATTTTTTCCCATTTTGTTTTCCTTATATCCTGATAAGTGCTCCAGTCCCTGCTGCAGAGAAACACCCCCATAACAGGATATTACCACCTCCATGCTTTACTGTAGGAATGGTGTTATTTGGATGGTGAGCTGTACTGGATTTCCGCCAGACATATTGTTTAGTGTTGAGGCCAAATATTCCATTTTAGTCTCATCTGACCAGAACACCTTTTTCCATGTGGCCTCAGAATCTTCAAGGTGTGTTTTGGCAAAGTTCAGTGGTGACTGCATGTGGCCTTTCTTGAGTGGCTTGTTTTCTTGCAATCCTCCCATACAAGGCACATTTGTGGAGAATTTGTGATATTGTTGTCACATGTACACAATGACCACTCTTTGTCATAAATTCCTGCAACTGCTTCGGAGTTGCTGGAGACCTCTTGGTAGACTCTCTGACCAGTTTCTTCTCCCCATCAAATACCTTCCACTTCTTACCGCTTCCCAACTGCCCTATAGCAGATATACTGCTACAGGGCAGCACGGGTGTGCAAAATCACGTATATTTATTTATTTTTTGATTTTGCATGATTACTCGCCAGCGCCTGGTGATTGCCGGGAATCTCCGATGGGGAGGAGAACTGTATGTAAACAATACAGTTTTCCTCCCTCTCAGCTCATGCACACTGCTTTGGATGGCTGTGCACAGACGCAAGTAAAACAGCACACAGTTAACCCTTTGATCACCCCTCATGTTAACCCCTTACTGCCCAGTGCCATTAGTACAGTGTCAGTGCTTTTTTTTTTTTTTTTTTAGCACTGATAACTGTATTGGTGTCACTGGGGATGTCAGTGACACAAAGTCAGTTTTCCCCAGTGTCAGAATACCCGCCGCAGTCCCGCTGTAAGTCACTGATCGCCACCATTACTAGTTAAAAAAAAAAAATCCCAGTATCTATACCGCCATTTGTAAACGCTAAAACGTTCACGTAAACCATTTAATTTACACGTATTGGGATTTTTTTTCTAGCAGAATACGTTTTGGTCTAAATTTATGACGAAATTTGATTTTTTTTTTTTTTTAATTTTTACTGGAAATATTTAAAAGCAAAAAAAAAAATATTGTTTTTTTTCCTCAAAATTGTCGGTCTTTTTTTATAGCACAAAAAATAAAAACTGTACAGGCGATCAAATACCACTGAAAGAAAGCTCAATTTGTGGGAAAAAAGAATATAAATTTAATTTGGGTGCAGCATTGCATGACTGCGCAATTGTCAGTTAAAGTAGCGCAGCGCTATAACGCAAAAAATTGCCTGGTCAGGAAGGGGGGTAAATCCTCAGGAGAGCAAGTGGTTAATAATAGACTTCACTGTGCTTCTAGGCATTGATAAAGCCTTTGACATATTTCTGTATCCATTGACTGACTTGTGCCTGTCCACAACTTTATCCTGGAGATCCTTTCAGAGTGCCTTGCCATCCAAAATTGATTGTTTGCTTCAGTTGCACTACCCAGGGATAGAACCACTCAAATCAAAATGACCATAGCTGATCACAGTTGAAAGTCAAATGGATTTGTGTGCCATTGAGAAGGTGATTCTATACCTGACTGAGTTTACAAGTCATTTTTAGGAGTGGGTGATCTTTTTTCCAACTCTGTGATTCTGTTTTTGATTTTGTTACATTTTTGTCTGACATGATGGTGTTATATCTTTAACTTGGATGTTATAAGTTGCACTAATACAGCTGGATTATATAAAACAAAAACAGTGTGTCTTCAATTCAGGCTGCAAAACAAAATGTTATTTTAAAGGGGGGAGTGATTCTTTTCTATATCCACTGTATACTGTGTAGTGTTTTTCCAATAACCTACAAACTTTCCTTTTGCCAGCTGTCATTTTTGCTGCATGTTTTAATCTGATTTGTTAATGTTAAAAAAGTACAGACAATTTTTATTTCAAGTACTTTGGTAAACAACACCCAATCTGGATCTCTGTATGTCAGGTAAAAGAAATGATTGCATTGTGTTGCAGACTTTGTTTCCCACTCTGTCACACCTCTGGGAAGACACAAGACAAGTCTGGTTACATTCCCCAAGCTTACAGTACTGTAGAGCTACCAGAGTTGTGAAGTTTGTACAGGTCAGGCATGAAGGGCTGCAGTCTCCTTTCTTTCATTAAAAGTGACAGTCATGCTGGCTGGCTAATTGCAGGGACTGGAGATAGCCTTTAGTCCAGAAAAAAGATATCTTGAGCTATATACACATGCTGTAACCAGAAATTAAATTTTCAGAGCAGGACAGGCATGCTGGGTGCAGTCCCTTGGGGTATCTCTATGTAAAAAACTTAACATGGTATTTTAAGAGGAGGTACTGGACAATGATGTTTCATACCAGGATGTCCTGTCGGCTTTTTGTAAAAGTGTCAAATGTTTCCATGATTTGTTCTCGACTCTTCATCTTCTTGAAGTTTTTCTTGACAGAACCAGCTTCAATCTAGAAGACACAAGGTTAAAAGTCAGCACCCCTCTGCCAGCCAATCCATTCAGATGCCTAGGAGAAAACTAGATGATTGGGCATAGCTCCAGGTACTGGGGTGGGTAGGTCACAGTTTTTCTAACACACAGGAGCTTTAACATTCTACACTTGTAGTATGTAACTATTGTATGTGTGCTATACTAATAACTGAAGAATGAGTTGATGATTACTGGAGCTTTGGGTGTAAGATGTACAGTGAGTATAGAAAAGACACCCATTCCCTCCCACACTTTTAAAATAATCACATTTTGTTGCTTTGCAGCCTGAAATGAAGATATACACAGTTTTTATCCAGCTGTATTTATTTGTGCAATTTATAACATCCTAGTTAAGGATGCCCCGACACCATTTACCGATACTTTGTGGTGCAATTTGCGTCAATACAAAATGTATGGATGCAAATTGCAGCGCAAAGAATAGCATGCTATTTGAACAGGAATGCTATTCCTCTCCTAATTGCATGCGGTTTCCAGTGTTCCTGTGTGAACCCAGGCTTCTCATAGCCTGAGTTCATGCAGGAGCAGTGCAGGAAACCTCCCTGCACCGATCCCATGCTGAACAGAGAGTAGGAGAGAAGGGCATGTGGGGATGTATACCTCAGTGTCGGCCATCGGAGGATGGAGGCAGATTCTCTGCTGTAGAAGAGAGAAATCCTTGGGTGCTGACCAATCAATAGCTGTTTAGTCCGTACTGTCGTCCCTGCAAGGAGAGGAGAGAAAACCGCAGGGATTTCAAAACCTTGCAGCCTTCTCTACTTTCCTACAGCTGAGAATCCAGAGCATCTGCCTCCATCCTCCGCCTGATAGCCAACACCAGTCTATACATCCCCACAGGCCCTTCTCTCCCACTCTCCACTCACTCGCACAGCTTGGGATTGGTGCAGGGAAGTTTCCAGCACCACTCCTGTGTGAACTCTGTGACAAGCCTGGGTTCACACAGGAGCGGTGGGGAAATAGCATGCGATTTGAACAGGAATGCTATTCCTGTCCAAAATGCATGCAATTCTTTGCGGTGCAATTTACGTCTATACATTTTGTACTGACACAAATTGCACTGCAAAATATCGGTTTGGGTAGCGGTAGCATTTCGAAAATACTCGGTATCAGCACCGATGTATCCCTAAGATATAACACTAACATGTTAGAAAAAACAAATTAGAAACTCAAAAAACAGAATAATCGAGCTGGAAAAAAAAGGATCACCCCCCCCCCCCCCACTCCTAAAAATGACTTGTAAACTCAGTCAGATGTAGCTAATCACCGTCTCAATGGCACACAAAGCCATTTGACTTTCAGTTGTGATCAGCTGTGGTCATTTTGATTAGCTCACCATGAAAAGCTTTCCTAGAGCATTTCAGTCCCTAGTAATGCAACTGAAGCAAACAATCAACTATGGGTGGCAAGGCACTGCCAAATGATCTCTGGGATATAGTTTTTGACAGGCACAAGTCAAGAGATGGATACAAAAAATGGCAAAGGCTTTATCAATGCATGGAAGCACAGTTAAGTCTATTATTAAGAAGTTAAGAAGTGTATTTGATAAAACACAGACCCTCCCTTGATCAGGGCATCACTCCAACCTGGATGAAAGAGCCAGGAGGAAACTGGTCAGAGAGGCTACCAAGAGGCCTACAGCAACTCTGAAGCAGTTACAGGAATTTATGACTACGAGTGAGGATTGTGTGCATGTGACAACAATATCACAAATAGTGGCTTGTATGGGAGGGTTGCAAAAAAAAAAAAAAAAGCCACTCCTCAAGAAAGGCCACATGCAGTCACCACTAAGCTTTGTCAAAACGCACCTTGAAGATTCTGAGGCCACATGGAAAAAGGTATTATGGCGAGACTAAAATGGAATTTGGCCTCAACACTAAACAATATGTCTGGTGGAAATCCAATACAGCTCACCATCCAAATAACACCATTCCTACAGTAAAGCATGGAGGTGGTAATGTTAGGGGGGGGTTTCTCTGCAGCAGAGACTGGAGCACTTGACAGGATAAAAGGAAAAATGGATGAGGAAAAATACAGTCAAATTCTTGATGAAAATCTACTGCCTTCTGCCAGAAAGTTGTCAATGGGAAGAAGGTTTACCTTCCAACATGACAATGACCCAAAGCACAAAAGGTGGTTCAACAAAATACTGATGCAAAGGGGTGATCCTTTTTCCATCTCAGTGATTCTGTTTTTGATTTTTTTTTCCGTCATGTTGGTGATATATCTTTCACTTAGATGTTTTAAGTTACACTGAGTAAATATAGCTTGATAAAACAAAAAATGTGTGTCTTCATTTCAGGCTGCAAAGCAAAAAATGAGATTATTTTAAAGGGGGGGTGATTCTTTTCTATACACACTGTATGTACTGCTCTTTCAACTGCTTAAGTCACATACTGCCTGACAATGTCAGGTATTAAGAATAACACACTGGGGAATTACATAATACTTTATGAAAGTAATGTGAAAATGTGTTGATTGAAACAGAAAGTAATGTCATCAAAACGGAAGCAAGTCCACATAACAGGTCATACCTCCATGCTAGGTGTGCTCTATATAACTTGTGGTTTTTAAAAGCCTGACCGAAATGTGTTGAGCAGTGACTCACTGTGACACCCTCGATACGAAATCCCAGCACTGCCGTAGAGCTGACACTCTCTCTCCACTGCATGTAACGAGGTTTGGTAACTGCTTTTTGCAGGTGTTCCTCCAGTGTAGGGGCCTGGGAGTCCAGGGCCACCATTTTGTTGTACAAGTCTTTGCGTAGTGTGGGCTTCAGGAGGGCTTTAGCAAGCTCATCCTCTAAGTATGTTCTGTAGAAAAGACAATTTATATCAAATTAAATCTTAATCTGATTGGCTGAAAGACAAGTACACATTGCATTTGTCTTTGTTGGTTACACAGTAACTATTTTGTGATATGTATTGGAATCACTGGGAACATTGCAATCTATACACATTCACTGCCTGCACACAAAACTATCCAGACTCGGGTTAGTACAATCAACGTTCAGAGTTGCATGGCTTTGAATACATTGCGTGATTGCTGCTGGCCCTAAGAGAACCATTTTACCAGAGAACCACACCTTGTAGAAACCTCACAGGAATATCTGCTATGAGATTCAACAATGGGAAACCCCATATAATATCTGAAGTACAAAGATAATCTAATTGCTGTAAATTCTAAAACTTCTGTGAGAACAGATAAATACAAAAAGTTAGAAAGGCATATATACAAGTTTTGTAAGCCAGGTCCACAAACTACAATCTTTGCTAATCGATAGGGTAGCAAATGTTGTTTTGCATGGAGCAATTGCTATTTGCTAAATGTCATCAACTTTCTAAAATAAACCAGTTGGTGCATAATAATGCTAATCAGGTTGCAGCACTACAATACGAACATCCAGCAAAGTCTGCACATGGTTTTTACTTTCCCCTAATCGTGGGTCATCATATACAAATCCTGACATCTACCTGCAGTGCTGGGAACTTCCCTGCCCTACGTTGCTGGCTTTACATTGCTATGGGCCTGTCACTATGATGAGTGGCCCTACAGACCAAGAAGGTGTGGAAAAGGCAAGCCATTTCTCAACACTATCTGAACGTTTTAAAATGTGCATATTAGAACACCCATTCCTTTACCTTACCTGTGGTACTCAAGAAGCCAATTACGGTCTCATGCACACTGCTGCTCCTAAACTCATGTTTTTGAAGCTTTTGGTCTTTTTTTTGCCTAAGCCCCTGAATTCCCCTGAACGTGTCCATGCATGCATAGGCTTTTACCAGAGTTTAGAGGCAGATAAACACTCCTCTCCAGAATTCAGAAGAATTGCATTCTGGTGAGGAGTGTTTTGGCAGAAAAACTGCCAAACACGGCAAAAATGTAAAATGTAAAAATGTAAATGTGGTTAAACACAGTAACGCTAGGAGCGTTTAGCCAGAACACATTATCACATGCGTTTACCAGCGTCAAAAGTTTTTTCCTGCTACGAGAAAGGCGCCCAGTGTGCATGTACCCTAAAGGTAGGGAGTTTGCCACTGCTGACATCCCAGTCTGAAATACTAGATCCGTGGCTGTTATGCTTAGGGTTCATTTTTAAGTCACCAACTCTGAACAAGTATACAGATCAGGAGTTCTGACATCACTGAACAAGTATACAGATCAGGAGTTCTAACATCACTGTGAATTTAACATCTGAATTTTCTGTATACAAGTTGTTGTTGTTGGCTTAGTACTACAACCAGATACAGCCAGACACAGCATTTTTAAAGGAGCTCCATGATGGCAGCCTTCATTTATTTACAAATATAAAGGTTTGTAAAAGACTCCATACACATATACAATAAAAGGCAACAGGAGTATAGCATAGTATATGGATACTTTCACACTGCTCCCTTGCAAAAACGCAATATAAACGCATAGGCATTTTTTTCCACGTTTCCAGTACATTTTGCAACAGTGTGAAAAAAAAAACATGTGACTGAAAAACATGCATCTAAAACACAACTGCATTTTCCATTTATTTCAATAGGAAGGTACATTTTTGGTACTTTATTTTTCACCGCACCAAACATGCACCAAAAAATGCAGCAAGAAGGACTTAGAAAAACGCATGACCATTAAATCCTATGGAACTCTTCACACTAGTCAATTGTGGGTCCATTGCATTTTTCATCCTCTTTTTTTTTTTTTTTTTTTTTTTTAATGCAAAACCTAAGAAAAACGGATCAATAAAAAGTTCAGTTCACAGCCATTAATGAATGCACTGGCCACCTGATGGTGATTTCTGAAATGCAACTTTAAACTTTTATGCAAACATCACAAAATGCCCCTTTTTATGAACTTGTAAATACTCTGGTGTGCTCCTTTCTGATTTAGTTTCACCTTGTTATTGGTAAACTCCACTAATTGTTATCCACCTTTTCAGTGGTGAGAGTACTTTTACTGGCCACTGAGTCTCATTAAACACTGGAAAAAGGCAGCTAGCTGGTCTTAGCCATGATATCAGAAGAATCAGGCTCCACATTTAAGGTGAGACAAAATGAGAAAGGGGCACAGAAGAGGCATTTCTGGTGAAAAGTAACAGCAGGCATCTTGTGCTTTCTGTTCTTCACGTCAAAACTTTAAAATGGAGCAGAGATTCACTTTAAGCTGAAAGCTCTTACCGAAAGCCCATCTTGCAGTCCATGATGCTAGGTGATTCTAAGCCCATAAGGAGGTCTCCCATTTTGATGTAAGTTTGGTCTTCCCTTTTCACCAGTCCATGGTAGGTAGGAACATATGGCTGGAGTATATCTTCCATTAGGGCCTCCAGGCATGCATTTTCTATAGGGCTAAACTTCTTCAGAATGTGGCCCCGTTCACTGGCTTTGAAGTTACCTTGAAGGACAATTACAAGAGTGAATGCTCAATTGCCTAGACTTGTTTTATCTCAGATGTCTGAAAGTCACTAATCCAAATTTGTACCCAATTTCAGCTCCACGGCCCAGCCCCTGACCGACTTGACTCAGAAGAACAGTCCCAGGATGGTGAACTGGACCTCGGTCTGTGAATCCACCTTCCGTGACCTCAAATCCGCCCTGGCAAGCAACCCCGTCCTGGCCGCCCCGACCACAACAGACGCTTCCTTGTGCAGACAGACGCCTCCACCTAGGCCTAGGGGCTGTCCTCAGCCAAGTCAACGAGGCTGGGGAGGAACATCCCGTCGTCTTCCTCAGCCGCAAACTACTGGACCGGGAAGTTGCCTATGCTACGGTGGAGAAAGAATGTCTGGCTATAGTCTGGGCCCTAAAGAAACTACAGCCCTACCTGTACGGCCGGGAGTTCACCATTGTCACTGATCACAACCCCCTCAGATGGCTGAACCGGGTGTCTGGGGACAATGGGCATCTCCTTAGGTGGAGTATCGCCTTCCAGCCCTACAATTTCACCATTCGATATAGACGGGGAAGCCAACACCAAAATGCAGATGGCCTTTCCCGCCAGCAAGACCCATAGTAGTTAAGCTAGGGCCCACAAGTGCCTCCAAGGGAACCTGGTTTGGGTTCCCCTTGTCGGCACTTGTGAAAAGGGGGGGGAGGAGTGTCACGATATGGGTCTCTGCCAGTCCCAGTTATTAATTCCTTTATTAATCCCTCCTGACCATAGGGAGAGCATCCTCCAATTAGTATTCACTCCTGTGTGCCAAAGGCCCCTAGCTGTAATTAACTCGCCCCTCCACAAAAGGTCCCAAATTCATTTAGTGTATACACCACTAATTAGTGCCTTACCTTTGTACTAATGTAATTTCCCCCACTGTTACACTGTTTACAGCTGCAGATTGAATTATTGTGTCCATCATGTTCAACCAGTCGTTTGCCTAATTCTATCCCCACTAATTAGTGCCTTACATTTGTAGTAATGTATTTCCCCCACTATTACACCGTTTACAGCTGCAAATCCAATTATCCTGTTTCAGTATCCAGCCTGTCCAACTCGTCTTTTCTGTTTACAGCTGCAAATTAAATTACTATAGTTCCATTCCTGTCCATTCTCTTCATTGTCACCTGCTAATGACCCCCCTCCGCCTCTCATCCTGCTCAGGGGGTTTAAGAGACCAGTGCTGGTCTCTCTTGTTGTTCCATTCTGCGTACAGTCACTAAGGGATCCTAGCTGCAGCGGGACGATAGTGGCCAGCCTCTGCCTAAGCCCCATTGGAGCAGGGGGACCCCAGATGCTACATCAGCCCTGCCTGCAATGCCACCAGCTCTGCCTGAGACCACCGCACCAGCTTTGCCTGAGGCTACCAAATCAGCTTTGCGTGAGTGTATGCTTCCCCGGTGATATCTGTTAGGAACTGCTTTAGAGACTTTAACTTTGCCCACCGGGGTTGGATTACAAGTGTTTCGGACTCTCTCTCCCTGCACTACTCCCCATTGAGTGACTGTCGTCTGTTCTAATAAAGCTTTAACTGTTTGACATCTACTGTGTGTGTTCTGTCCTGCCTATGCTCCGTCACACCAACCAATGCAGTCACATGAAAAAATGCCTGGGGTATTTCCTCCCAGATCTGGACCAGGGCATCACTGAGCTGCTGGACAGTCTGAAGTGCAACTTGGCGGCGTCAAATGGACCGAAACATTATATCCCAGAGGTGTTCTAGTGGATTTAGGTCAGGCGAGCATGGGGACAATTGAATGGTATCAATTCCTTCATCCTCCAGGAACTGTCTGCATACTCTCACCACATGAAGCCGGGCATTGTCATGCACCAGGAGGAACCCAGGACCCACTGCACCACCGTAGGGTCTGACAATGGGTCCAAGCACTTCATCCCCATACCTAATGGCAGTCAGGGTGCCATTGTCTGGCCTGTAGAGGTCTGTGCATCCCTCCATGTATATGCCTCCCCAGACCATCACTGACCCACCACCAAAACGGTCATGCTGAATGATGCTACAGCCAGCATAACATTCTCCATGGCTTCTCCAGACACTTTCACGTCTGTCACGTGCTCTCAGGGTGAACCTGCTCTCATCTGTGAAAAGCACAGGATGTACAATACATCTAAAAAGAACCCCTTTCCTCACAGACTGTTTCTGTGGGAAACAAAAAAAATACTAGCGCAGATCGTTCTTACAATTTTTATTGAGAATGGTAAAAAAAACACTCACATTTCAGCAGATAAAACAAGGCATGTCACATCCATATTCCAATATGTGACATCTAGACTCCATTCACTGTGATGACCTCACAGCTAGCCTAGGCACTATCAGTGTTTTTTTGCTTCCCACATTTTATTTTGCTATTGGGAGATGGTCTGTGAGGAAAGAGGAAAACTGGAGAGGAGTTACGTTTGTACACATGTATATAAAGTGCAGCTGGCCTTCTTTTATCAGTGGGGGTCCAACAATTAAGGTGAGCCGATACCCATAAGGTGGGGGTGAAGGGCACTCTGGTGTGCATGGTGTGGAAACTGTCCACACAGTCCTAACATCAACTTTCAATAGGAGGTTGAACAAACATTGAATGGTGTATGGGACTCACTTTATATACAGATTTTTTTTAATATATTTTGTTCTACCACTTTTGCACTTTATTTTGACTTTGGGGTGAATATATTTAATGTCACTGTGACATATGGATTGATTATGTCATTATTTATTTAATGAGTTACATGATTCAGTGCACATACTTTACACATTTTTATGGTTCATTTTAGATGTATTTAGATTTGATCTACTCATGGAGTTATCATATCTTAACAGACAGATTATATGTATACATTTATTTAGGACTGTTCTCTGTGTCTTTGGAAAGATTTGTTGCAAATCATAGTGCTAAACAACTAGGCACAAAGTGAGACAAGATCTTAAATACTTACAAACCTAGGTAGCTGTTGATAATGAGGGTTTAAGGTGACCAAAGGTTACCCAAACACTGTAAGTGGAGAGTGGAAACAGACTGGAGATCCACGTGGTGCAGGAGCAGGGGTAGCAGTGGGATGATGCTTTCTTCAGGCAGAATGGCTGGAAAGAAAGTGTTGCACGCAGGCGAAGAATCCTACCGGTCAGCGCTCAATTCCTAAGCTTCAACCCTTACTGTGATAAAACCAACAGTGGCTGCAATTTTGGGTGTCTAAAAGTGCAAATTGTGAGGTAGCTCTGGGTGCAACCTGACTAGCTCTACTCATCGAGTGAGTTTTCAAAGATATGGTCATACCTGTGGCTGTGCCACAACTCTTCTATAGAAAGTACTTCCTGGCTAATTAACACCGTGCACGGTTTCTAAAAAATGCAACAATGCAGAGCCTAGTGCCCACATTTCAAATTCCAGTCTAGCCTCACACATCTAGTCAGTCGTTTAAAGATAATATGGAGGAACTGCCAATCTGTGTATATTTAGAAACCAACTTAAGCAGTGGTGTAGCAAAGAATCTTCTTTTAAGTCACTGAGGAAAAGTTACCAGCAGTGCAGCAAAAATCTTGATAGATGTCACCTAGGAAGAAAATACCACCACACAACAGCAGCAAAAAACGGAGGTATACTGGGTATAGGGGGGCTGGCTTAATATTTTTTCTGTTTACCATTGTCCCAACCTCCTGTAGGTAACAGTTTAACCCAATTGCTTCTAAATATTACTATAGTACTTCGATGGATGATGGAGAAATTACATTTTGGGTACTTACAGAGCAGGGTGCAGAAACAACTCCTGGTTTCCTTACTGTTTTAACATATAAAGGAATACTATTCACGATACACATAATAAGTCTTGTACTTGCTACAGAGCTTCAGCAATGGTCCAATAAACAGGGTAAATCAAAGACGAATTCTCCTGCGCTCTAGGACTCAGGTGGCGAATAGATGGAACCAGGCCTGGAGAAATCGTCCACCAATGCATAAAGGGCTGTGCGGCTCCAAAACAAGGCTGGGGAAGCCCGACCAATACTGCAGAATAAAATGAAAACGAGAAGTGCACCAACCTTGCGCATTACCTCAGTAACCAAAATGTATTAATTGTAAAAAAATATACTCACAAACAGCGAATGAAATCAGGCATGTAAGTCCTCAAAGGGACTTGAAGATAGCGTAAATCCCATCAAGGGAATGGGTGTTCAGTATAGCTGATGCATTTCGAAGGGAGTCCCTTCTTCATCAGAGCTACTCACGCTATCTTCAAGTCCCTTTGAGAACTTACATGCCTGATTTCATTTGCTGTTTGTGAGTATATTTTTTTTACAATTAATAAATTTTGGTTACTGAGGTAATGCGCAAGGTTGGTGCGCTTCTCGTTTTCATTTCATTCTCCAATAAACAGGGTGACCCTGTCTTACCTGTCCATGTCACTGGTCCATATACAGGGTCCAGGCTTTGCCCATCACATTAGGCATACCCCAGAAGGGGTCTTCAGGGTGTGGGCGCCAAGTACCAAAGTGAATGTCCAAGCAGGATCCAGTGCCCGAAGCAACATTACAGGCAGTCCCCACCGCATGGGATCCGGGCACGGCTCCCAAGGTTTGACTGATGATGCACCAGTCTGGATGAACTTCTATTTTTGTGTCAGAAGACTGTGAGGAGTTGATTGAAAAACCCGAAGTAAAGCAATAAACTAGTTAAGCTAAGAGTGATTTCTTTGTAAGACTGTCCATTACCTTAGGAGAATAGCAAAAAAACTGAGGATTCATGGACTGAGGTATGTTATAGGGGGACCCTCAGGGGGCATGTCAAAAGCTTTGCCAGTGTCCAATCACCTGAAGGTATCTGCCTTTAAGCAAGGATCCATGAATATCAAAGTATCATTTATAATATCAATGAATATCAAGCC